CTTCACAAGTATTGATCACCTGGAATATGGCTTTGTTTAATGTTATGCACATCTATTAACCTTTAAAACAGACTCTGGTACAGACTGGTACAACTTTAGACAATTGGAAGGAAGTAGTTGTATATGTATGTATGTAGTAGCCTTTATGGGCAGAACAATAGCTGCTGGTCAAACAGTGTCCCAGGAAAAAAAGGAAGCACTTCTTTAAACAGTCATGTGGATGTGAGTGGGGTAAAGAATGAAGGTGGGTACATTGTATCTAACAGAAGTGGGTACACAGAATATAATCAGCAGGGACAGGATGTCCACTTCTTACCCCAGAATTAGATGTTGACAAAACAAGTCCTGTGTTTGTTTTGATAAGTGGTGACCATTGTCTAGGGCTGGTGCTTGCACCCTCACTCTGAAATGGGAGAACACCTTTCGCAGGTGTTTTGAAATGTCACTGAGTAACAATGCCCGGCCTGCCTGAATGTGCACTGTCAGATCTACATGTCAGAGCCTTGTTATGACCCCCGCTGCAAGTGCTTATGAAATATTACCAGGCTACTGAGTGTCCTATTCCTGCACAACCTTGAATTTGGATAGATCATAGCTTGAATACTAAGGGGGAGTAGACAGAGTAAACAAATTATTTAGTAAGATCATGTCTTGGTAACTATAGAGGAGGAAAGACCAATACATATAATATACCTACATAGGTAAGAAGGTAAATAAATATTAATGAGGTAAAGCTGTTATAATTGTAGTTAGCAACTATTAAATTATATTTGTAAGAATTCAACAGACTCAGTGACTAGAATGAAAGTAGTAATGCCACAGACTTGGTCAAGCTTGAAATTGAAGGCCAGATGTACTGATGCCCTAGATGGGACATGCTCACTGCCCTGACCCTACACTACTCTTGATTTATCATACATGAATAAATCATACATAAAAGCTACCTTGGCGAACCTCTGACAAGCAATATTTAACTCTTACTTTATGTACCCCACAATACTAGATAAAATGCTTTAGGACATCCCTGGGTTTGAATCAAGCAAAGGCCTACAGTACTGAGAAACATTAAACAAGCAAACAAGGGGGAAGAAGAAAGAAATACATTTATTTTATAAATCACAAACCAACCAACAAATACGACTGACCAGTAACCTTCTTGCTGAGTTGCTATACTGGTATCAGAGGTGAACTAATGTGGAGAGCCCAGAGCCAGATGTCCCTATCAGATGTGGCTGTCAGGCTTTGACCTGCTCCCTCCATCAATATATATCCCAATTTCAAGGTTATCAGCTAATGGAAGGGGACCTTTCACAATGAATGCTTGCATTCCCTACAGTCTTGTACAGGGAACAAGGTTTTGCACTCTTCTGCAAAGCAATATGTGGCTACGGTAGTAGTAGGCCCACTAGTACTGCCATTGACAGGCATGTAAGATTTCAGGGTAATTATGTTTACTCAGTTTAGTACAGTTTACTGGATAAAATTGCAAGGCTGTGGGGATGTAGATTTAGTGGTTTTAAGAATTGTATCTCTGAAAAGCTAGAATATTATGATAGAATTGATGACATCACGGTTGGTGATGGCAGTTCATTGTTTAATCACAAATTAATCAATTGTCATGGTTTACTATGGGTTTGCTTTTTAGAGATGTGTATCATGGTCAATTTGTATAATTTGGAATTGAAGATGATGATTTACAATTATAGTTGATTTGATGCATGATAATGCACCATATCAGCATGAATGGATATATTGAACATAACAGCTGCATATAATGACCATATCAATAATTGAAAAGGCTACTAAAGGAACAATAATCTGTGAACTCTTTATCCCACAAGGTGATAACAATCATATGATTAAAGAAATTAATTTTCATATCGTCATGCAGTCATATATTATGCAGCAAAATGAAAATTTGGGTTGCCTTGTGCTTACATAATGGTCGCCTGGTTACACAGTATGACAGCTGTGATTACTGATATCATATATTATTATCAGGGTTTAAAGTAATAACGTGCTGGCTTAATTTGATATATGCCTGATTGTTCATGCAGTGTGGTATCTGATGGGACATAAAGGTTACAAATGGTAACTGTCCCATGTATGTAATGTAACAAAAGTAGTTTGAATTCTTATTTCACACATTGTGATCAACCAGCAGTGAACTTCAAAGTACATTTGTATATTTGTAACCTAGTCTGGTAAATTGTGAATATTCAAGGATATTGCTGCCTTGTAATTACATATAAGTTATTATAAAAATATGGCTTTGTTCTGCACCATGTCTACAGCATTTAAGTTTGTATTTCTCATCGCATTTTTCATCGCCTTAATCCCAAAATCCGTTGTAACAACAAGTCTTAGGTTCAAGGTCAAGATTCTGTCTATTTTAGGACTTTGCAATGCGGGATTACTTGTTGCTACCTGAAGAGTTACAGGAATACCTGCTTACTCATGTTATAGACACACTGTGGCAGTAATGGTATACCTTAGGCTTGGAGCTATATGCACTGGTCTGGCAGGTAAATGGACAAGTTTCCTGCCCTACAAACATGACCATGATTTATTATATCCAGTGGGTATCAGTACCTACAAGCACTGCTCTGGTTTCCTCATTACCAGCGTCTATTTTGGGATCAACATACCTAGTTCAAGTGTTACATTTTCCCGGGCACCTCATGGGGCCGTGAGTTGGCTTCACAAAGCGATGGACACATTGACTTTTTTGTTTCCATGACATTCCTGCAGCATGGCATCACTCCTACTTGGCTTTCAGGGCCTGCCAGTACACACACTGAGTCAGCTGGTGTCACGCTGCGACAGACAGGGAAACAACCAACCACTCACATTCTGCAGATATGATATCTATATTTGAGAAAATATTCCATATTTATCAGACCATTGTCACTAATAAAAGATTAACGATTTCAGAGTTAGCCATGTGATAATGTATTTGTAAACAGTGAACATGTTGATATTGAAAAACTTCTCTTTATTTATCTTCTTGCAGACATGTATACAATCATGGACTTGTTACTTGCTGGTAAAGTTGTATGACCAAGCATATGACCAAGTATTACCTGTTAGGTTGTGTATGTGTTTTGTACAGCTGGCAACTGTGTAACTATAAGGCTGGAAAAGTGGTACAATGTAGTAGCTTTGCCTGAGCCTGTTCTGTAGAACCTCCTTGGTCTTAGCAAAGAGAGTTTGATGCCAAGTTTCTTTGAAATTCTGTAAGCATCAGAGACTTCTTTATAGCCATGTTTATGTCTCCTACCAAGCTACAGATATACACATGAAAAGCTCATTTCTTCGGTAAATATTGCCATCTTATATCGTATTTCTCTTTCTAGGCTTATTGCATCCACAGGTGATTGGATTTTGTCAATGAATTATGGGTATATCTTCTTACATCATGAGGTTGTCTGCCACATGGCATTTCAATCAGTGCTGCCAATGACTGCAAGTGTGCCAACATGTCAAGTCAACTGCCTTGTCATTCTGTGTGGTACACAATGATGGCAGTGTTATGTCTGTGTCATGAGCTGGGCATTGAACAAGTCCTGCAAGCAGGCTCAACATTTATGTGCAGCCAACAGCAGGTCAAACCCATATAAGGAGAAGACCACATGGTCGCTCTAAATCAAGTCTACGCTTTACCATGCAGGCACTTGAGTCTGTGAAAGTTGGAGACAGTATTGTTGGAGTGATTTAACGATGATCTGCTGTGGGTGTGTGGATAACCGTCATTCTATTCAACTTCCATTTCCAGTAAGTACCATTTGACTGAATCATACAACTAAAGAATAGTCAACATGTATTTCAACTGTGTCAGTTCTAATGTTGTTTCACTTCCTATGTTTCAGATGCAGGAGCTGGAAAGGAGAGTGCAGGAGGCTGATGCTAAGGCAGACAAAGCAGAGGAGCAGGTGTGTAAACTAAAATGTCTCTGTATTTGTATAAGTCTACTGATGTACAGGTGAGTCAGTAGATATTCTAATCATGCGAATGAGATATAGACAAGTGCATTGATGATATAGCATAATAGCACTCTTATTGTCAGTGCTGTCTTCTGCCATAGTCAGAAAGGCTTTCCAATTTGTACAATTATGTAATCAGTCCCACATAAAGAGCAGTATAGTGGTGGCTATAGCCAGCTATAGCTACTAATGCAGCCTCTACTGTACAAATACTTGAACAGGGATAAAAGTTTCAAGTTCAGACTATACAATAACTGCATTATAATAATGGCACACACACACATACATACTCAAGTCAGGTAGCAAGAAAGACACACTGCACAATTGCTGAAAGTTTTTAAAGGCTTTTATTTTCTTGCATTGTACCATGGACAGGGTAGTGCACTGGCGCAAGCTTGCATTGTTACTGGTAATTGTCAACAGGTGACGTTCTCTGAAAGAAAATCTCAGCATAACAACAATTTCATCCATAGTCCTGCCTCTAATTGGGACCGAAAATGCTCATTAAAGAGAAGTTGGCAAGTGGCCTAGTTTGTCAGGCATGATGGCCTGCTGAGCACTGTGTGGATGGGTGGGCAGCACCTTTGCTCTAATTTCCACCACAGTCAAGAACTTTTACAAATCGACCAACACTTGTTTCATCGCCATTTATGCAGCTTTGAATGTGTTTGTTACAGTAAAATATGTGAAATATATCAAGCTTCAAAAACATGGCAGTACCTATATAAAAACTGTCTAAAACTTTGTCACTGAGCAAAATGCATAAAATGAGATTTTTTAAATCTAAAGTGCATACTATTAGCTACATGTCATAAATACCACATAACAGTAACACTTCAGTTCTGTCCTTGGAGTTGATAAAATCTGCATCACTTACATTAACAACTATGCTGTTCCTGAGATTTAAAAAAAAAGCCTTTCCCTGTGGAAGTCCTCCAAGGCCACAACCATTCTGGTACTAGTATTCTATTTGATTTTCAATTGCATGATGAGACAATCCCTTGTCTGCCATTTTCTTCTCTTCTCTCTACCATCACTATTGTTAGCATGTCTCTGATCTTTTGCTTGAGCCAAAATTTCCTGTGGCTTCTGTTGGCACCCATTATAGCTGATGTCATCTCCTGGCCACATCTGTGGGAGAGGCTCTACCCACCTGTTATGTCTGTTAGCTCAGGCCAAATCTGGCACACAGGTGGAAGCTGTCCAACTTTTTGGTGGTCTTAGATTTTTAGTCTTGGAGATATAAATTCTGTGTTTCCCTAAAGCTTTATCAGCAGAACATAATATGGTTGGATAAAGCTATTGTTACAGTATTGCTACAGAGAAGGACAGATAAACAAGCATTGCATCTATATTACCTTGTTAGCTACAATTCATAAAGATTGTAATGCTGTTTAAGATTCAGCTTACTAAGTAGTTGCTACTGCCTGGTAGTACCGTAGTCAGTATTGCTTGCATAATACGGTATCATCATCATCAACCATTTCTGAGGGGTCACACTCATGATCAACTCCTGAACAAATTCCCATCATGTACATTGTGTTATTTCTGTGACTTAATATCCACTCTGAGGATCTAAATCTAAGAATGCAAATCATCTAACCATAAAGTCTTATGGCCCAGCAAGAAAGGAGGCCTAGGGGAGTGACTCCCAGTTTTGGCAGGGGAGGGGGAGGGTTCTTGCAAGGTCAAATCCATTACATAGCTTCAAATGATCATGGGAGTTCTACCTGTGGTAACAACACTTACTGTAGGTGGAGAGTCTGCATCAGAGGGTGGACAGGAGGAAATGGCTAAATCAGAGTAACTCCGGCGGTCCTGAGGGATGTTACAGTTTCCACAACAGAACTGTACTCCACCAACCTGAGTAACAGCTGAAGCTGGGTGAGGGGTGATGTCAAGCCTTGTTTGGGAGGCTGGCCTCTTGGGGAGACTGTGTGGGTGGAGTAGGAATGCAAGGGGAAGGCTGATAAGAAAAAGTTCAAGAGATTTTATCAGGTTCAAGCACATGTTTCCTACAGGATGATAGGTTACATGCTGTTGTATTCTGGGGGAGAAAACATAACTGACCTCAATACCTGTAACCTTGCTCCAGTGACCTGTATTAGACCAAAGATATATCCATCCTCTAATTAATTAGTTTGCAAGGTAAGCCCTTGAAGATGAAAAGATGGTTGGTAAGGAGAGGAGAAGCTGTCTTGTAACATATGGCCTGGCTCTCTGTGATAATCAGATGATGTTGATGGATTTGTGGTTTCTTTGAACTTTTGGGAAGAAAACACTGTCCTGTATATATAAAACTTAATTATGATTTTGTTCCTAGATGTTGATAACTTGTAATTCCCTTTTTTTTTAATTTTAGGATAGCACATTTTTTTTCTCATTACAATTACAAATGTAGTGTTGTTTTCAGTATTCCTAAGTCAATGTATGTATGAATTGTATGTGTGCAAAGAGACTGCAAATTTGGCCTGCTTGACTCTCAGTAACCTTCTTGACAGCTGTTTTAACCATGATTTGTAGTTAGAGGAGTCATACCTACTACATGCAGACTATACAGGAGAAATCTGTGAGAGAAAAGCAAACAGGAGTGTTTGTGTAGCTGCTAGCAGGAACTTCTCACCTGTCTCCTGGTATGTCACTACAGACATAACTCGACTGACAAGCTACCGCCTGCAAAGGATCTTCCTTTCATACATATATATATATGGCTATATAAATGGCATACATTTTTACATGGCATGTAGATAGCAATGGATTTATAAACATGGTTAAGTTAACATGATGTATAAGGTTAACTGAATCACAGATTGATCCCTTTTGTACTATTCAATATTAACTACATTGCTATCAGAGATAAACTGTTCATATGATTTTTGACAAAATATTTATACGAATACACACAACAAAGTTCAGCTATGCTGGGGAGCTTTCGAGACGTTACACTGTCTCTTCTTCAACCCGATTGAGATCTCGTCTTGGAGTTCTCTTGTCACGTGACTTGATGGGATAATCACGTGACAAGAGACAGTCATATACAGGTTTTAGGTAGTGACGCCCCCTGTCCTTGTTTAAGGTACTGCATTGTCGGCGGATCTGGATTGCCTCCCGGATCCCCCTTGCAAACCAATCGGAATCTTGATCCAGCACTTTGACCCTGTCCCAGTCTATGTTGTGTTTCTTCCTGGCGACGTGCTCCACAACAGGTGACGACACACAGCTCGGTCTCTTGTGTTCCTGTAGACGGGCGCGTAGTGGTCTCTCTGACTCCCCTACGTATGTTGCAGGGCAGTCCGCACATGGGATGTGGTAAACCGTTCCACTCCGATCCAGCGTCTTGATCTTGTCTTTAGGTGCTACCAGGTTCCGTCTGATGGTGTTGACCGGTCTGAACTGACACTGTATCCCTTTGCTTCTGTACAGTCGCATGAGTGTTTCAGAGATACCCTTGATGTAAGGAATGCTGACTGTCCCTCTGCGCACCACTCTTGTCTGGTCAGGTGGAGTTCTGTTAGGTCTCTTACAACGTTTTGTCTTACAGGCCTGAAACATCCATTCTGGGTATCCACATACCGAGAGTGCATTTTGTATGTGTTCGATTTCCAGGGTTTTGTCACTCTCTTCGGTGACAATCACATTGGCTCGGTCAGTGAGGGTTCGCACTACACCTATCTTGTGCTGAAGAGGATGGTGGCTTGAGAAGTTCAGATACAAATCTGTATGGGTTGGTTTCCGGTAGATAGTGGCATAGAGTGAGCCATCCGGCCTTCGGTGGATCAAAGTGTCCAACATCGGTAACTTCCCTTCTTTCTCCCTCTCGACCGTGAACTTGATGGCACTATTAACCTGGTTAATGTGAGCGGTGAATTCCTCTATCCTGTCCTTCTTCTGGATCACAAACGTGTCATCAACGTAGCGGCCCCAGAATTTGGGAGGGTTGGGTGCAGTGGAAATGGCCACTTCCTCAAAGTGCTCCATGAAGAGGTTTGCCACGATGGGGGAGACGGGTGACCCCATCGCGGCGCCTTCCACTTGTTTGTAGTAAGTACCGCTGAAGACGAAGTACGTCGTGGTGAGACAGAATCGTAAAAGTTCTACCACCTGTGTTACACCAAGGTTCGTCCTTTCCGAGAGAGTCTCGTCATTCTTAAGTCGTTCCTCGATAACGTCAATTGCTTCGTGGATGGGAGTGCTTGTAAATAGTGCAGTGACGTCATACGATACCATTTCCTCGTCATCACCGACGGTTAACTCACTGATCTTATTTACGAAATGTTTGGAATTCTTAATATGGTACTGATTCTTGCCAACTAGAGGGCTTATAATGTCGGCAACGAGCTTGGCCACATGGTAAGAAATAGATCCTATGCATGAAATGATGGGTCGCAGAGGTGCCCCTACCTTGTGGATCTTAGGTAGGCCATAGAACTTTGGAGTGTCCTCAGATGTAGGATACAACTTCAACTTCAGGATCTTGCTGATTACACCTTCCTTTTCCAGATTCTGTAGAATCGTGATCAGCTTTCTCTTGTATTGGGGTGTAGGATCCTTCTGTAACTCAGTGTAGGTGTTAGTATCGCTGAGGAGTTGTGAAGCCTTCTGCTCGTAGTCTCTTCTGTTCATAACAACTGTTGCTCTTCCTTTGTCAGCAGGAAGAATGATGACCGTTTTGTCTTGCCTGAGATCGGACAGTGCTTCCTTCTCTTCATGACTGATATTACTAGGAGGTAGTTTGGCCTTCTTGATTATGTCAACAGTTTTGGCGCGTAGTTCGTCTGCGTCTACTGGTTCATATGATGCACCTCTCTGGTATGTCTAATGTACAGATGGTTCAAAAAGACCTCTTGGCATACTTTCAAGGTACAGTACTTTGATACATGTATTTGTAAGTGGTGAGTCAACCCTTGTAAGAGGAGAGAGGTTGTGTCTGTGTAGGAAGTCCTGGAGACACTGACAGCTGTCCAAGGGAAGATAGTTCCAAAATTGTTAGCAGATTGGACATTGGACAAACCAACATTTGTGATTGCACAACTGTCAGAGCAAAGGTAAAATCTCAAAATGTACAGGGAGTAATAGATCTGTATCTCTATAAAACTTGAATGATGATGAAGTTCTTGCTATAATTCCTATGATAACCTAGAGAGTACCTAAAGAATGGAAGCCATTATGAACTATTGATGTCAGTATGTTCTGTACTGGTTCATAGACAGATAGATGTAGCAAGGTCACCTCCTTCAAAATCAACCTGTCCCTGACCAGACATGGATCAATATGCAGGTGCCCTTTCTGGCCCTTGCCTCTATCCTGTACTGTTACATTACCATCCTCCTCTCAGACTATTGATCGGTACATATGTATACTGCAGGTCAAAGCAGAAAGCCCCTGACCCTATATCCATCTTTAGAATATGTGGTATCACAATCATTTTAGCTAATGGTGAAGTGAATTGAAGGCCTATGATTTGCTAGTTAATGCAGGATGCTGCATTCCCAATGTTCCTAAAGGCTTCTGGATCAATATCGTCACCTGATCCTGTTATGTCGTAAATTGCATCTTCTCTCAAAACTACAGTTCTTGTGCACTTTGGCAAGACTTTTTGATACCAACTAGTGTTCATTGTACATGTTGACCAGTCTCCTATATTGATCAAATATGAAAGGCCATCCTTTGCCTTCATGATATATGTATCCTAAGTTAAGATAAATATCTGTTATCAAGAATGGTATTTTTCGCTCCAGGGTTTGATGAGCTGGTGTGATAAACTGTGAGGGATATTGCCCTGGAGTAATATATGACGGTGATGTTCAGTACTACATTCTACGGGTGCTGGTCAAGATAACATCGTAGCTAGCTGATCTTTGTGTTGGCTCATGTTGTGTTCCTTTGTGTTACACAGTTACGAGTGATGGAGCAGAAGCAGGTGACCCAGAACATCGACGTGCGGCAGTCCACCAGCGCTCTGTTCGTGCGCATCCAGGAGCTGGAGACAGCCTGCAGGGAGAAGGATGACGTCATCGTCAAGTTAGAGATACAGCTGGAGGAACAGGTTAATTGTCACTTTTATCTGTAGCATATCTTGTTATCATCAGATCTATCATGTATACTGTAAACTTTTGTGACTTCGTAAGAACTCCTAATGATGTGAAAATAGCTTGGAATGGCAGAATAAAACTTTAAAAGCTGTGAAATAGGCAAGAAGAAACCCTGAGCTTCCCATGTCTCCTCAGACAAGACAACAGATCAGAACATGTTTACTTTCTCACACCTGTTTCAACCCACCAGGTACACTGGATTGTTTTAGCAGCAACCCTGTTGACTTGTTGGCAAGAGAGAGAGGATTAATTATGCCAAGAAATGTTCTGCTTTATGTCAAGGTTGTAAAAGTAACATACCTAGATGCTAAAGCTCTTTAAAATCATGTTAACATATCCATGAAAATCATCCGCAACTAGGGTGGGGACATCTAGTAGTTGTCGTGGACAAACTGATTAAATCATCAGCAGGAAGTTTGCTCCCCTCCTCGAGTTCTGTCACCTGTATGATCACCTGGTCACACCCCCATGTCTTACAAGTTTACTCAAGGATTATGTCTTGTAGGCCCCTCAAGTGGTCATCCTGTATGTCATGTGTACAACAACCTTAAATGCAGGTAACCAGAGTCAAACAGTGGCTAATGAGATGCTGCAATGTACCTTAAGCCATGTGGGTAAATGTTTCAATTCAGTTACTGCCGAGGCAACAAAACATTCCAAAGGCATGAATTCCATTCAGTCGTGGCGTTCCTGGATGGTTGGGGAGAACGTGAACATGACCAGTGTTTCAGGAAACCACAGATGTGGTCACTGACACGGACACCTTTCCTGTTAAAAAGGCATGGTTCTGGCATCCTACAAGTTAGGTAAATGTAAACATTGAAGCCACAAGTATTCACAGGGCCACTGATCCCAACTGATCTCCAACTATAGATAACTATCCTCACCTTGGCTTGCTTTATGTGTAAATAAAGGTGGAGAATAATAGCCTTAAAAGTGTACAAAAAGATGTGGGCAGGACAAATGACAAGGTTAACACTGAAGATGTATTACAATGTATTAGCATGCAAAGTGCCCTAACCACTTATAACTGAAGGACAAGTTTGTAGAAGTAACCACGGGGTTGAAGCTTTAAGTTCATGAATGACTCTCATTCAATGAGTTAAAGTAGGTGCCACATGTCTTATTTATACCTTTGTTCCTTTTACTGATATTGGAGAACATTTGAGAGAAGGAACTTCAAGAGGTTGGTCTTGGAAGTTGGCAGGATAGGCCTGTACCCACAAATGTTAGCAGGACTGCTGCCTGTTGTTCCTTTGGGGATATGTAATTCTGACAAGCTGTCATAATTCTATTTACAAGTTCACAGAGGCCAGGACACACCATGAACCTGTCTAAGCCTGATAAGGCATTCCGTTTGGGAACATTCTAATGAATACTGATATAATGAGGTAGTAAGGTCACATGAGGACAAGGTCTCCAATTTCTTCCCTACAGTGTGTACCTAAGACTGATCAGGCTGTGTAGCTAGTCCTTTGTGATGTTTATTTGTGAGGTCCCAGACCTGACACCTGTACTGGAGCTAGCATGTTTTCTGTAATAGTTTGGCAAAGGATTTACATGTTTCCTTGTGGAAGGGGTAGCTTGTCAGTTTGTCAACTATGGGGAGGGAACTGTTTGTTCAGACCACGGAGAGCTTCCTACTACAGTCAGATACCTCACTGATACTGTAAATGCAGAAACTTTTTGCATTGGTTTTTTTTCCCTCTTTTTTTGTGGTAATCTCTCCACCTTGAATTTATGACACCGCCAATTGTATAATTACTGCTGAACAACAGAATTGTGTCAACCACAAATTAAAATGCTGCAAAAACCTCACTTTCCTTCCAAGCCAAATATAACCACTGTGAAATTAAATGCATTTCCACATTTTCCAGTAGTGAGGCAAGGACTGGTGCTTTTTACAACCCATGTCAAAAACAGTACAGCCCTGTGTACACACCTACAGAGGAGCCTTTTGTTAACCTTGGACAGTTTTCACCATGCAGGGGTGTAACTCAGGGCAGTGTGAAAGAAATTTGGGCTAACTGGCTAATGAAAAGGTGACCTTGTGATGGCTGCCTGTAAAAAATGTGGTGACAGGTGTTGTTTTGATGTGTACATTTAGATAAGGGGATTTTGACTGTAAGCTTTCAAAGTATATTTTCCCTTCCTGTTCAGATTTCCTCTGTTTAAAAGCAGTTGTCAATCAGATCCATATATATAATTGTTACCTGGTATATTCAAACTCAGTATTGAATATGAAAAATTATTTCCTTAATTATAATAGTAACTTTTTCCATTTTATTCTGCAGAAGGAACTTCGTGCTCAGGAAGGAGAGATGGTGGAAAAGAAGGCAGCTAAGATTAAGGAATGGGTTTACAACAAGCTGGGAGAGGTGAGATTAGACATACATGTACATAACATGTAATGTTGTAGACATAACAGAGATGGCTATTTCCATATCTAAGATCTTAGATGTACCATTATGACTGTATAGGTATTCATTAACATGTTAGAGTTCCTTGTCACACTCTGTTGTATAATATGACACATAATGTCTTTTGATGGAGGGACTTGGGAAATGGGAAACTACCACATAATTCCCATGACTGTGGTGAACATACTGGATCATATTTCTGATGAAAGCTGCATTCATGGAAGAAACCCTGGACAACAGCACTACTGTGAATGACACACATCTCATGTTGAGAATTTGGAGAATTGTCATGTACAGACTGCTACTGGTATTTTCCTTCTAATGTCATGTAATGCAGCAGCAGTTGTTATAGTTATTTGTAAACCATTGATAGCTGGGAGTAGGTAGTACAGGTTTTCCTTGGGATTATATTGCATACGGTTGTCAGTGTGATGTTACATTGGAATGTGCTTCCCCTCAGTATCATTTGCTCTTGTGTGTGATCAACATGGCATCATTGGTATCGAAGTGCTCCCTACTAAGATTTAAAACTTGATATTGTCTGTTGCTGCCTTATTGTGCAATGAGTTAGTTAATAGGTGGCCTAGTACATGTTGAAGATCACAACTTGTGAAGGTCATGAATGGTAAGGTCACATGTCTGTGTTCCAGTTGGAAGAGGAGAATGAGCGACTGCGCCGCACTCACCAACAGTCCATGTACGCTCTGGAGTCCCTGCAAAAGAAACTGCAAGGTTAGTCACTTCATCTACTACTAGTACATGTAGTGAAATGTCATGTCTGTAGGACATCCTTGAGTATATTTCCTTCCTGTAACAACCTTTCACCAGATACTTGAAGGTCAAGTTTATGGACAGGGATAAACCCTCAGTATGGTGCTTTCCCTCCCATTGTTGCCATGTTAATGGCTGGCCCTCAAAGTCTGCTGAAGACAGACTTTCAATGTCCCGTGCTACTGAACCGGTCTGCCTCATTCTAACTGGTGACCATGTGAAACTATATACAGATAGACCCATCTCAAGCCACCCTCAAATATCCTAATTTTTGGTATATGGAATGTTCATACCAACCCAGTCACATTAACAAGTAAATGTAGATCTTGTGAACTGGCTTGTTTAAAAGTCTGGACCTAAACTTTACTGAACTTTACTTTGGGCTTAAGACGATCAATCTCAAGGTTTCACCTTAATCAAAGCTGATAGCACAGGTACTCGCCTAGTCAGAGCCTGTTAGACACACTGTTAATCCACTCCACCTGACTGTGTGTCTGCTATAACTCAGGTGCTTCAAACTGTGTGATGTTAACCAGTCAGGACATACAGGATTGGAGAATTCCACAGGTCACATGAACAGTGTCAGCTGGTTTTATCAACTGTCGGGCAAGAAGGGCAAAGTTTGTATGCAGGGCATTACTTTAACTTAAAGGGCATCCAGTTAAACCAAGCTCATTAAACCTTTGTTCCATGTGCAGTTTGTCCTATTACACTAAAAATGTGAAAACGTCAGTTAACCATCCTTCCCTAATTTGGATGAAGAAAACCACATGCAGTACTTCTCTGTCTGCCACTGTCCATTTATCTAACCAATGTGTATATTGCTTCGAAGTCAAGAATTGATTGTGTCTGACTCCTATTTCATTGATAATGTCATTCCAACATTTGTTAAGTTGGAATGACGTTAAATCAAAAGGTAAAAGAACAAAGTTTAAGACATATGGATAGACATAAGCCACTAGTTACCTTCGCCAAGAAGGTTATGTTTTCAGTTTTCAGCATTTGTCCGTTTGTCCGTCTGTCCGTTTGTCCGTCTGTCTGTTTGTGAACAGCATAACTCAAGAAACTCATGCATTGTCATGAAACTTGGTAGGTGGGTAGGTCTTGATGAGACCTAGAAATGATTAGATTTTTGGGCCCCCTGGCGGCTTTTGTTGGTACTGCAGCAGAACTTCCGGTTTTGATATCTCACGATCTGGACATGCTAGGGTCACAAATTTTGATTGGTAGCTAGCTCTTGGGGTAGGGAAGACATGACATGAGTTTGGGTCCCCTAGCGGCTTGTTCTGGAACTGCAGGAGCATTTTGTTGTAAAAATTTTCAAAGGAGGAAAACTCAAGAACCGGTTGACAGATTCTTGTGATTTTTTGTATGTACATGTAGGTAGCTGAAGTGATGCTTGACATAATCATATGACTATTATGCAAATCAGGAGCTAATTTGTATAATCAATGAGGAAATTCTATAAATCTGCTTTGTTCAATAATAGGACTATGAAACACTTTTGACATGTAATTGAGAACGAAAAAAAAACATCTGAGGATATAGATTATGTAAATAAAGACCTAATTTGCATTATTACATTATTAATTGGAAATTTTTATAATTTCATAGTTGTAACTGCTGGGAATGTCAGACTTGCCACATTTGGAAGTTAAGTGAAGGCAAACATCAATAAACATAATTCATTCACATCATGACCTCATTTGCATAATTTGAGGAAAGGCTATAATAGCCTTTTTATTAAGATAAGGCTGTCATTGGGTGGAGAATATGACCAACTGATATAATCCATGCAAATGAGGCTCTTATTTGCAAAATCAATGATTAAAATTGTATAATTTATCAACCGGAAGAGTTAACATCATTTGGCGAAGGTATGAGGTCGTGGAACTCTTGTTTTATACATTTACTCATCCTAGCCCAGTCCTGTGACTGTATACATGCACACACTGCCATCGGAAGAGAATCTGAGTAAAAAAAGTCTGTTTCATGAACAGATGGAATAAGGCAAAGGGAACAACCTGTGTCGGTACAACCGATATTGCTGCAAGGATCTTGATCAGTCCATCAGACATTTGGTCAGGACCTGGTTTTGCCTTACAGAAGAGGATGCAGATGCAGGCTATGGAAATCATTGAAGTCATTAGTTTTTAATTTGTTCTTCTGTAAACTGGCAGAGATGTGAGGCAGGTTTGTCTGGAGTTACCTAGCTGAAAGGAAGTTCTGGCTTCATTGATGCATGCTGAAGGAGTCAGGGACAAGGACAGACAGTCACTGAGCATCATGGGTCATGGGGAGGGCAACTCTGTCTGACGTAAGCCTGCTTAAAGGAAATCTCACATGATAGGTACAGGGTCAGTGTCAGCTGCAATATTGAAAAGATGGAAATACATTGGAAACGAACTAGAGAGAATAAGCCGCAAAAAAATATGGTACACATTAAAACAAAGTAATCTCACTGCTGGTAATGACATAGGAGAAAAGGATACATATACTAAGGTGACAGGCCTTTGCTTCTTGGAAAGCATTTCATGGACATGACCTTTCTCTTCTCTGCAGGGAGCATTGTTGTGTGGGTAGTGAGATCCTGCTTGTGAGTGGCAGCCAGGGTGGCCAATGATTGGATGTGTCATTGTGTCGTATCTGTCTCTCAGATAAGAGGATTCCGACGGATGACCATGACATATGCAGTCATCTCCCATTTATGGGTACATAAGGCACACACAACCCAGAACACGCCTCACTGTTGGAGGTCCGTCTTGTCTTGGATACAGAAGGCGTCTGATGACTCTTTCTCCAACCTTTAGAACCCGACTGGTGGCACCCCACAGTTTGTTTCTTAAACCTCCTTTATTGAAAGTGACAAGCCATGGCCAAGTTTAATCATCAAAGCACACGATAAAGAATACATCATCCCTCCTACACGGCTTAGTTCTCTCAACTGCCAAATACAGTGACCAGAATAGACGGCAGACCATCCATTGTTAGGAGTCATTGGGTACCCTCTTCAACATTTACACATGAATTTCTTCCTCTTACTTTTGTGAACTTGTTGCTAAGGTGAAAGCCTCTCTTGATGGGTAACTAAATAACAAGCTAATTTGCAAGTTCCTGCCTGACAGTAACAGTCTGTAATTTCAGAAAAGCAATTGGAATGTTTCCTATAAGCTAAGATGCATGTTCCACTGTGGTAAGAAAAAAGGATTGAAATGAGACAGACAGACATTCCTGTTTCATTGGGAACAGTTGCCACAGTTTAAATGCATTTCAGGTAGAAATTCTGGGCTGATTTCTGAATGCAACGTTTCCATTTGTACTTCATCTTAGGTTAGTTAAGGTCGGAGGCTTGGTAGTTGGACTACAAACTTGATGTAAGTAATTCTTAGCCACTAGATAGGAAAAGTTCCTGCTGATTAACAACCTGCAACCATGACCAGCTGGACAGAAAGGTATGGAGGGATATCACTGGTAGTCACCACCTGTGGATGAACTAACTGAACAGCTTTTTTCGGTAGCTGAATTTTAACTGTAACTGAAAATCATT